CGATACATCGGCGATGCATTGGCGATGTGGCGCGATCCTTCGATCCCATCTACTCGGACCCCATCCAGGAGGCCTCTATGGAGGGCTCCTGGGTCGCCCCGGTCGTCGCGAGGGGCCTCTTGCCAGGGGCCCCCCGATGTTGCTCCTCATGGGCCCGCGATAAGCGGGGAGTTTGTGAGATGCCAGGGCACTGGCGCGCCCGAGAGAAAGCCGCAGCCGCGGGCCGAAACTCTTCCTCCACTCCTGGGATGAAGTCGGGCCTGTCCCTCTGCAGGAGGAATAGTCAAGAATAGTCCCAAATCAGCCTGGCGAAGGACCCAAACATATGCAACTGTGCGAACCGCAATTGTGAATACCGTGTTCGGTGGAGCTCCCTGTGGGGCCGCGAAACGTGTGAGGGGTGTGCCGAAATCTGTGAGGCGGACGCATGCGGGCGGTGGCTGGGGCATTCGGTGGAGCTCCGTATGGGGCCACGATACGTGTGAATTGTGTGCCGAAGTTGGTGTGGCGGACGCATGCGGTCGGCGACACGGAGGCATCCGGTGGAGCTCGCTATGGGGCCACGAAACGTGTGGGGCGTGCGCCGACATGGCTGTGGCGGACGCATGCGGACGGTGGGGCCTTCGGTGGAGCTCCCTGTGGGGCCGCGAAACGTGCGAGAGGTGTGCCGACATGGGTGTGCGTGACGCATGTGGGCTGCGCCACTGGGACCTTCGGCGGAGCTCCATATGGGGCCACGAAGCGTGTGAGGGGTGTGCCGACATGGGTGTGCGTGACACATGCGGGCTGCGCCACTAGGACCTTCGGTGGAGCTCCCTATGGGGCCACGAAGCGTGTGATGAGTGTGCCGAAATGGGTGTGCGTGACGCATGCGGGCTGCGCCACTGGGACCTTCGGCGGAGCTCCTTATGGGGCAACGAAACGCGTGAGGGGTGTGCCGCAATGTGTGTGTGTGTGTGTGTGACGCATGCGGGCTGCGCCACTGGGACCTTCGGTGGAGCTCCCCATGAGGCCACGAAACGTGTGAGGGGTGTGCCGAAATGGGTGCGCGTGACGCATGCGGGCTGCGCCACTGGGACTTTCGGTGGAGCTCCATATGGGGCCACGCAACGTGTGAGGAGTGTGCCGAGATCGGTGTGCGTGACGCATGCCGGCTGCGCCACTGGGACCTTCGGTGGAGCTCCCTATGGGGCCACGAGGCATGTGAGGGGTGTGCCGCAATGGGTGTGCGTGACGCATTCGGGCTGCGCAACTAGGACCTTCGGTGGAGCTCCCTACGAGGCCACGAAACGTGAGTGGTGTGCCGAAATCGGTGTGCGTGACGCATGCGGGCTGCGTTACTGGGACCTTCGGTGGAGCTCCCTATGGGGCCACGGAACGTGTGATGGGGTGTGCCGAATTGGTTTGCTTGACGCATGCGGGCTGCGCCACTGGGACCTTCGGTGGAGCTCCCTATGGGGCCACGAAGCGTGTGAGGGTTGTGCCGCAATGGGTGTGCGTGACGCATGCGGGCCGCGCCACTGGGACCTTCGGTGGAGCCCCCTACAGGGCCACGAAGCGTGTGAGGGGTGTGCCGAAATGGGTGTGCGTGACGCATGCTGGCAGCGCCACTGGGACCTTCGGTGGAGCTCCCTACTTACGGAGGACGAAAGATTTCCCTCTTGAGGTGAAAATGACCACGAGGAGTTCGCGAGACAACGTCGGCGCCGCCGAACGGACGGCGACCGGACGAGCTGTTTGCAGCAACCGGGGGGAGAGGGATGTATGTATTCATGTTGAATGGGGCCCGTTCGCGCGGGGAGTTGATGGGAGTGCGCGAGACGACGCAGGGCCCATCGTGGAAAGTTGATTACAGAACCCCCCTCCCCCTGAGAATCTTAACACGGGCGGTTTGCGGGGTCCGCGGATCCGATTTCTTCCAGCCACCTGTTTTAACAGTCTAAATTTCAAACAGGGTAGAAATCGGATCCGCCGTAAAAACTAGGGGTCGGACGCGGATCCGGGCAAATCCGAAATCGGAACCGCGCAGACAGAAACCGGATCCACCGAAACACAAGCCACAACCGAAATTGGACTCGAGCGAAATTCATTGGATCCGACGGTGGGTATCTCAGATCTCACACGCGTCTGCTCAAGACCTCAAACCTTCGCTCCGGGCCCAATAGGAACAAACACTTTCGTCCTGGGGATGTATGGGGTCACGAAACGTGTGAGGGGTGTGCCGAAGTGGGTGTGCGTGACGCATGCCGGATGCGCCACTGGGACCTTCGGTGGAGCTCCCTATGGGGCCACGGTCATCGTGATGGGTGCACCGACGATGATGATGATGATGCTGAGGAGGAGGAGGATATGATGATGCTGGCGGTAATGATGCTGGCGGCGACAATGCAGATGACGGTGATGATGGCGATGCTGATGATGATGACTACGATATCGATGATGCTGATGATGAGAAGGAGGATGCTGATGCGGATGCTGAGAAAAGGAGGGAGGGGACGGAGGAGGAGGAGGAGGAGGAGGAGGAGGAGGAGGAGTGACGTGGGGTGTTGTCTTTACAAAACGAGGACCCAACACCACAGGATGTTTGGGACAAATAGTCCGGGGACAGCTTCTCGACTATTTGTTTGAATACATATATATATATACACATACAAGACTGCATTGGCGTTTCGCGCCATGCGCCTTGTTCCGGGCGTTTCCCTGGCAAAGCAATAAGTCATCGCTTACTTCAACAAGGGGGACCTCGAGGCCTGGGCGGGCGACCAGCTCATTTTTCCGATATCCCTGGTGCCTGCTGACGCCGCGTTCGGCCGATGCGCTTGCACGCTTGTGCGCAGGAGTTGGGAAGGATAGGTGATTTTTTCACGCGCGGAGGTCCTTTGTGGAAGAAACGAGCGTTCCCACAACACGCCGAAAAACTCGCAGTAGCTCCGAACATATCGATATTTGGTCGCTTCCTGAATGCCTGGAGGGCCCCGGACACTCAAGAAATCTTTGGTCGTCGAGCTTCGAATCTCGATCCATTGCCTGTCTTTTTCGATCGAGGAACTTAAACCTCGAGCCTCAAGCGTGGAACCAAGCTCGTCGGGTCAGCTCGATGTATTTCGTGGGAGAACGCCGTCTGGGCGTTTTTGGGGCTCTTTTGGGCCGTCCTGGGGCCCTCTTGGGCCGTCCTGGGGGCTTCTTGGGCCGTCTTGGGGAGCTGGGGCCCTCCAGAGGTCTTCTGAAGCCATCTAGGGCCCTCTTGCGGGCCTCCAGTGGCCTTCTTGGAGGTATCCCGTGGCTTTCGTGGGTCTCTCTTGGGGGCCTTCCAGGGGCATCTTGGGCTTTTTGTGGGCAGTTTCGGGGCTCTCTGGGGCAGTCATGGGGCCCTCTTGGGCAGCCTTCAAACCATCTGGGGGGCATCTTGGGCCGCCTTGGGGCGATATTGGGGGCCCATTGGGCCGTCTTGGACGATGCGAAGACCCCCAAATCGGGTATGCAATCGATGTATGTATGTATGTCTGTCTGTCTGTCTGTCTGTCTGTCTGTCTGTCTGTCTGTCTGTCTGTATGTATGTATGTATGTATGTATGTATGTGTACACACATCTTGAGGGAATTGGACGAGTCGGGATTTTCCGGGGCTCTCTTAATGGCCTCTCGAGGTGTCTTGGGGGCCTCCTGGGCCGTCTTCAGACCATCGAGGTTCCTCTTGGAGCACTCTTGTGCTGTCTTGGGTCTCTCTTGCGCCTCTCCGACGACCCCTCTGATCGCCTTGAGTCGGTTCGCAAGGTCCAGCAAGGCGCCCTGGGAGGCCTGGAAAGGCCACCGAACCTTCTCCAAAGGCGTTCAAGGGGGCCGCCGACGCGTCCGAAAGAGCGTCCGGAGCGTCCATGGGGGAGGGGGGTCCGCTTTGGGGTGGGGGTAGGGGTGGGGGCCCATGTAATAAAATGTAGGAATAGGAATATGTCGTCCGAAATCCCCTTGTAGGAGGACATTCCCAATATCATCCTAGGATTTTTTCCCAGGTGGACTTTTCAGAACCCTGGTCAACAGTGTCCTGGTTTCAGGAGGCCCTGAGCTCTGCAGGCCAGCTGGGCCGCCCATGAGAAGCCAGGATCCGCGGGCCTTCGGCAGTTTATATGCTCATGTTTTCTGTCGGCCATTGAGAGAGCTCCCGCACACACAGACACATCGACCGAGGAGGTCTGCATCGGTTCACTCGAAATTGGCATTGGAATGTGCTGGTGCAGCTGCCAGTCGGTTTCGCTAATCGGTGTTTGTTTCGCCAGGTACGTTCCGCCTGTTTCTGGGTGTCGATTACAGCCACCCCGCTGGGGTCGCTTGCTGAAGGCGGGGCCGTGCGCATGCGGAGTGCCACCGGCAGCTTTCACAGAAGCACGTTTTTGCAAAAGGGTACTCTGAAAGATCTGCCAATCATTTGTTGTTTGTTGCGTTGGCCTTGGTCGGGTCAGGGCCACCTACAGTGGAGACCCATGCCAAGACACGCCCTGCTTGCCTCCAGGGTGCCCCGGGTCTCTTGGATCTCGATGGCTCTCCATGGGGAGCGTGACGCCCCCGCTTCAAAAATCAGTGGACGCCCTGAAGTCTCAGGGCTGGGTTTCTCGTGGAAGGTTTCTTGTGGACCGGCCTCCCCTGACTCCAGATCCGCCCTACTTTGGCTGTTTTTCCAACTTTAAATTGCAACGGAAATCCACCTATAAGGAGCCGAAAAAGTAGGGCGGAAATTTCTGCACCCAACATAAAATGGGGCGAACATCCACAGAAGTAGGGCGGAAACAACAACAGAAAAGTAGGGCGGAAATTGGCATCAGCGGGGCTTGAAAAGTAAGGCGGAAATTCCAAGCCCTACTTACGAATTTCCCCAAAGTAGGGCGGATCTGGAGTCAGGGTCCACTGTAGGGTTGCGCCCAGCCATCTGCAGCAACGCCTGCCGCGGGGGCGGCCAGCGGCGGCCGGCGGTGGCCGCCCAGCGGCGGCGGCCGCGGCCGGCCCTCAGGAGTGGACGTGGCCTTCTGCGCGCTCGGCGCGCGGGGCGGCTGGACCAACGGCGGCGACGTGGCCGCGACGGAGGGGATCTCCGGGCCTCCTCCTCCTCCTCCTCCTCCTCCTCCCCTCCTCCTCCTCCTCCTCCTCTCCTCCTCCTCCTCCTCCTCCTCCTCCTCCTCCTCCTCCTCCTCCTCCTCCTCCCTCCTCCTCCCCTCTCCTCCCCTCTCCTCCTCCTCCTCCTCCTCCTCCTCCTCCTCCTCCTCCTCCTCCTCCTCCTTTCTCCCTCCTCCTCCTCCTCCTCCTTCTCCTCCTCCTCCTCCTCCTCGGGGGGAGGCTGCCTGCTGGAGCCCCAGACAGACGACGACGCGGACAACGACAACGACGACGACGACGACGACGACGACGACGACGACGACGACGACGACAACGACGAAGACAACGGCAGAGTCGGCTTCGGCGAGGGTGGCGTCGAGTACGCTGACGACGACGGCGACGTTGACGACGAGGCCGACGACGATGACAACTACGACGACGAGCACAACGACGACGAGGGCGTTGACGACGAGTACGGCGGGGACGACGACGAGGACTGGGCTGTAGCCCGTGCAGCGAGGCCCACATCCTCGTTCCTTCCTCCTCGCCCTTGTCGGGTGGAGTCCCGGGTGCGGCGCGGCGCGCAAGCTGGTCAGCGGCAGCGCAGAGGGCGCTCACCTCGGCAAGCCAGCCCGAAGTTGGCACTCTGCGGCCTCGCCGCAGGCGCTGCAGCAACGCCGGCCGCGTCGGGGACGAGTCGGCCTCGCCAGGCCGCCGACGAGAGGCCCCCGATGGGTGGAGCTTCCGCCGCGGAGGCGTTTCCTGAACTTGGCCAGGCCAGGGGGGTCTCTGAGCCGGCAGGCTCTGGGCGGTGGAGAGCCAGGGCGCCGTCCTGGCCACCGTGGGGGCGGTGGTCAAGCACTGCGCCCAGGGGGCGTCCTACACCCTGCAGGAGGCCACATCTGATGAGGGCGTTGGTGATGCCCATGGCCAAGCTTCAACCGGGGGCTCCACCACCTCCCAG